GAGAGAGAGAGAGAGAGAGAGAGAGAGAGAGAGAGAGAGAGAGAGAGAGAGAGAGAGAGAGAGAGAGAGAGAGAGAGAGAGAGAGAGAACATAAGTCTCTATCCTCGCAGCTGGTGTCTTGCTACTTCCATCCATAGGATGAGCAAACTCGAGTGAATCTTCCGCTAGAACATGGAAATATACACTACCTGGTTGAATATGCCGCGGCCCGCCGCCGCCGAGGGGAGAGGGGGTTGGGGTGGCGGTTGCGGATTGGGGTTCTGGAACCCCGACCCTACCCCCTTGAACAATTTTTTATTTTTTATTTTTTTCGGGGGGGTGGTTTTTGGTGCGTGACAAGAAAAAGAAAAAAAAAAAAGAAAAAAAAAATATTGATTGATTGATTAATTGATTGATTGATTGACTGATTGATTGGTGGGGAAGGGGTCCTCCCTCCTTGCCTTGCAGTTATTTCTTGCTTTCACTTTCTTCATCGCACTGCTACCCCAACCACAGCCAGCGGCGCTACCATGCGGCACGGCGGAGCAAGCGGAAGCATGGTACCCCTCCCACTGCATCCACCACCCGCCCCCTGCACCACCAAAATCCCAGATCTCTCGTCACACCACCCCAACCACACCATCACATCCCCCACCCCGATCTGCGTCTTTTGGAGGAGAAAGATGCCCCTCTGATGAAGCTGCTGGTGGTGCAGCAGAAAGACCTCAGGGATTTGCCACCCCCTCCCGCGACTCGGCCATTGGAACCCGCGCACAGATGCATAACAATCGAGTCTCATGAAAGGCTAGATGCGGGTTCCTACTTCCCCCCCCCCCCTTGCATGGCACAGGTTTATCACTCGTAGCGTTGGGGCTGGGGCCGGACCCTCCTGCCTTTCTTTGTGCTTTCTTTTGGAATCTGTTCCATCCACTCGTTGGCGGGGTTTGACCCAAAGGGACAAAGGCGGAGAAAGGAGTAGGGAGCTGCTCTTTGGTGGCTTGATCTGCATATGGGTCAGATTCGGCCACTGGACAGCAACTGTCTGATTCATCGTGGTAGTGCATTCTGCACAGATCTTACCAAGGTGTTGCAGCCGAAATTATCTCCACATGATATTCTCCTTTCCTGGGAATCCCGATGATCAGTCTCTTTTTTACCTTGAATTCAGCCAACGGTTCCTAATGAAAACGCACACTCCCCAACTCGGGCTCTTCGTCAATTTTCTCCAATGGATGTACCTTCACTACTTGACCGAAGTTCCTTTCGACCGCTACGTGAAGTGGCACCATTAATTGCAATGGGACATTTATGCATCGAATCCAAAAAAGCTTTGGCTTACCCGTGCTCTTGAAAATTTTCATTTCAGCCAAGTCTATCCATGGGTGAAACGTAATTTCGTATGACTTACCTTTCAGTTCAATTGTTACTTCCCGTTCTTGACGAAGCCATTCCACAACCGCTTTGGTGCTCGCCACATAAGTGGCAAGGTTTTTCCCTTCATTTCGGTATATCGCCCGTGCTTGGTGTCAGGACTCACATCACCACTGTCGTAGCAGGAGTTTTCGTAAATATGTACCAGCTGTTTTTTAACGCCGTTGGATAAACTCCTGGCCTCATGGTGCTATTGGATCGTAACAGCGCGTTCTCTCAGCCATTCTGTTTGAGCATCTGAGAATTCCTCATCAAGGTCTAACCGGGCAAAGTCATCTCCCAATTCAGTTTCTCCAATGCAGAGTCCTGTTGGGAGCAGACTGTCGTGAAAACACGCATCCAGCAGATCTTTGATATAGGCTCTCTTTTAGTTTGTATAATTATGTTTCCCCTTCGGGTCCCATTCTGTTTCCTGGCAAGCGTGCAGGTTAGGGAGGTTGGGTTCCATTTTGGTCAGGACGAGGGACAACAGTGGACCAACTAGCGGATAAAGAGAGACGATGGGCCTATAACCCTATCTAAGTCCTATTAGCATATAATATATAGGCCTCTATAAATGTGAGTTGGGTCCACTTTTGCGAGCATGCTTCCATGTATCGGGCTTACCCTTGTCAACTCTTTTGGAGTCGAAGCATTCTTCCTTACATGAACCATCGCAATCTTCATATCCTTAGTCGATGTCGATAACAACGAAGATGTAACTTAAAGCAATTGGCAAGAGCCAGGGGTAGCGATCTACTTCGAGCCTCCCTGAGAGAAACTTCCACTCTGTCCAACCACAGGACAGCTGCCACCCAAGTCGGACGGCAGTGTTGTTCTCATGACCGCCATGGCATAACCGTGGCGGGCGAGAGGCGTCCCAGTTACCTGGGAAATGACGAAGACGACACACCGTAGCATGGTACGACAGCTGTTCCGAGCGGAGCATTAGCGCCGCCGGACAGCAGCACTCGAGGCGTCGCTACCCTGAGCCTCATTGTGCAAAATGAGAATGAACTTCCCGCTAGAACATGACCAGTACACGCCACATTTTTGTCTTTTCACATTTCGAGAGTGGTGTGGCGAGCCTAGCACTGAATTTTCCTGACGCCTGCCACTTAAGGGCCTCGCCACACCACTCTTGAAAACTCTTTTTCAAGAGTTGCTGCATCGCCACACAGCCTCTTGACACTTGGGGCAGTCAAGAGCTGTCAGAGTGGCAGCCTCTTCAAACCCTTTCAAGAGCAGCTCTCGAAAGATTGGAAACCCCAGCAAACTCATGCGATTTCAAGCGTCCTTGGCCGAACCCTTGAGGGACTATAGATTTCCAACAGTTAGAGTTGTCAGGCCGTTATCCTGACACCATGCGAAAAAAACAAAGCTGTATGACTGTTGTTTTTCATCCTGTGTCCAACGGCATGGCCCTTTCGAGAGTGCTGCGTGGTGAGGGGCGGAAAACTCTTGAAAACCCTACTCTTGAGAAAATCTGACACCCAAGAGCCTAGCTCAGTGGGTACACCCATGAACTGTTGAAATACAGACCTGTGTAGGCTGTGTTCTTATCCAGATGATGGAACTTGATGAGTAAAACCTACTACGAATGAATTGCTTGGGGCCGGTCAGATCAATGATAATATCTCAAGGCCGTTGCCCTTTCCTTGAAAAAAGAAAAAAAGAAAAAAAAAAAGAAAGTCTGACAGCTCTTGACATATTTCCCCGTAAAAAAAAAAAAAAAAAAAAAAAAAAAAAAAAATCGAATGAAACTACAGCTAGAACATGGAAATATACAATCCTACCTATGTGTGTGTGTGTGTGTGTGTGCGACTGTGGGCCCAATCAATCAATCAAAAAAAAAAAAAAAAAAAAAAAGCCCTATTCTTCTCTCAATTTCACCTCACACTACCTACCTACCACTACTCCTAATTGTAGGCATACGGGGAACCCCATAGCAGCCAGCACCGTGTTCATGAGAGAAAATGCGGGGGCTGCTCCCGACCTGCAGGTGAGCGATACCAGCTAGGGGACAGCCGGTAGCATCAGGGACCATGCCAACAGGACCAATCCCTGTGCCTCCCCTCAGGTCCCCTCCCCTATGAACATCAGCAGACTCTGCTAAGTGCCAATCGGGGGAAGCATCAGGGACCATGCCAACAGGACCAATCCCTGTGCCTCCCCTCAGGTCCCCTCCCCTATGAACATCAGCAGACTCTGCTAAATGCCAATCGGGGGATCCAGTGGTCTATCTCTAGGTGGCGGGCGCCAAGCATGCCCAGGAATGTATATGAGGTCCATGGGGACTGAACCCACGACCTGGTGTGGTGAGGCCCTCAAGGAAGAATGATGGACCTCGCTGCACTACTCTCGAAATGTGCAAAACGACAGTGAATCTTCGCTAGAAACATGGCGAGAGACGCCCCCATGATTTTTGTCTTTTGTGCATGTCGAGAGTAGTGCAGCGATGCCCGATATCTTTCTTTTTCTTCTTCTTCTTCTCCTTTTTTTTAAATATAAATGAAATAAAAAAATCGAGGGCATTGCGTGACACACCGAAAAAAGGAGCGACAGAGCAATTGAACGAGCATTCTCATGTTTGTTTTGCCCGCGAGCATTCACTTTGCTGACGAACGAACGAACGAACAAACGAAGACTCATGTTT